TTATATATGTTTTCCCTGTAGATGTTAAACCATTGTTTAGCCACTCTTAAACCGGTCTAAAACAGTGCCATCAGTCTGATTTGCATGCTTGTTTTCCTTCAGTTTCATGCCATAATATGTGTAATACATCTGCTATAATAACCATACTTAAAATAGGATTAACTTAGTTATCTTTTTACTAGTCACATTGCTTTCAAGGATATAACTCACAGATTTTACAAGAATTTATTCATTCACAAGATTAAACCCATGTTCTTAACCAGAACCACCTACAAAAGGGTGGTGACTTGGTAGCAAGGTAGATACTCTAATGGTTTTGGGCTTTAAAAAAAACACTTATTATATGTATACAGACTGTGAATTTATATGTTAAAAACTGTGCTGAGAAGGTTTGACCAAAAACTGCGTGGATCTTACAACTTTTAATATAATAATATTCATTTCTGACCTGTGTAGTTAGGATATGGAAAGGCACCTGTATGAAATGTTGGATCGCTGCTACTAGCTAGTGTAGGGCAGGTATGGCAAACATGAGCTCTCCAGATGTTGATGGACTATAATTTTCAGGGAAACAGTGAACAGAAAGGGTAGTACATTCCCCATATTCCTCCACCACTGACTTAGCTGGCCAGAAAGCAGTCCAGTAACTACTGGAAGGTCACACGTTTGCCTTCTCTGGTACAGACTGTTCTGAGCTCGATGGACCAAAGCTCTGATTTGCAGCTTACTCTGGTCCAATGAATGCCAGAAGACCAATGCTTTTCTGCTGCCAAACACTTACTACCACTGCACTAAAGGTATCTGTGAATACTGATGCCATTACTCTCAGGCTCACAAATGGCCAGGAATGTGGGTACCCCCCAAAAGGATTTTTCCATATGCTTGGAATTTAGGATATACACAAACAGTTGAAACTACACTATCATTCACTACATTTTCATGGAACCACATAGTGTAAACGAGAGTTTGCAGATAGTTTGGAAATCCTTCATCAAGGGTTTAGAAAGCCTTTCCTTCTGTATATCCTCCGCATACCATCTAACAGCAGTGAGGCTGATCAGTAGCAAAACAATTGATTGCAAATGACTTTTTTTTTTTTTTTTTTGCAGAATCTGCTCTATGCATAGAGGTTCAAAGAAGTGCTTAAAGACTCCTTCCACAGTGCAAATGGATTCTGAATTACCCCCATTTTCCAGAGAGGTTTGCCAAATTGCATGGCAGTGGGAGGCAGGAGTCTGCTGAAGTTCATACCAGACAAATTTCACAGGTCCATCAATCTCAGCCATCCTATGTACGTGGGGTCTCATTGCCCCCTTCTACAAACAGAATTTATAGATGCTTATAATTACCCCTTCAACAGGAAAGCAGTTCTGCCTGAAAGCCGCAATGCTGTCAGTTCCTCTCACTTTAATAAAACAACTTAAAGCTAAGAGGAAGTCTGCAGGCCAGTGAGCATTCAAAACATGTACTTTGTTAATAGTTCACAAGATTCACAGGAGCAGCAATGTCCATGGGGTGAAACAACATGCTTACATTTCTTAGATTCCAGCGTAGTGACTAACAGGTAATAATTAAACAGAAGAAAAAGAATTAAGGACCACAGCATGCAACCCAGTGAGATAGCAATTCAAGCAAAACCAACAGGATAATCGCAGTTGTGATTCATCTCGTCCTTTTGTTTGTTTTTTTTCCAATATAAGGAAAATAAATCCTTAGAAATGGAGGGGGGAATTCTAAATGCTCCTTGTTGTATCTTGTTGAAATTGACATCCGATGGTCCCTTTTACAGCACAGGCTACAAGCAGACTCAGTAGCAGAGCTTGAGTTAGTTCAAGGCTTGGAGGGTCACCGGTGTTGTATCAAAAGCACAGCAGCATCGGATTCAGGCCCTGCAGCTCAACTGGTCACCTGGGGCCTGGCATGTACACTGTGGCATTGAGGCAAAGGCTGCTTTGAAAGTCCTCCAAGTGTGGGCTGTTCTGGGGCAGTGACTCCCTGTGCGGACCAATTGTAACCACTCCATCACAATGGCTTTTCACAGTTGTTTGTGGTGTTGTGGCAAAAGCAGTGCAAGGGAGCTATTGAATGTGAACCTCTCCATGTGCAGCAACAGACATCACTGCATGGCACAGTTTAAGGCATCTCTATGTGCAGATGATTCACCTTCAGCTTTAACTTTCTGGGAAAACACATTCCCTTAAAAGAACTGTGTTGTCTTACATGGATAGCAACATTGAAGGGCCTAACTTTTACAGGTGGTGTTGCAATACATCAGATGTGTGAAAGAAAAAGACTGAGGAGAGGTTTGTGTTGTCATGTAACTGAACCTGAATAGTCTTGGTGGTGCCATGGAGAGCTTGTGCATTTGTGCAGCAACTCATTCCATGGATTCCATCATCATCCAGCAACAATGCCTAACAGTGAACTGGAAAACAAAGGAAGAGTCATTGCATACAATAGGACATGGGAAAATTGAATCTAACTGCAGCTCAGGAGCTGTTCAGCAAGTTTTTAGTGCTGTGCACTGTATGATCATTAAGTATTCTTACACCAGGGTCCATTTTCACTGTATTGTTTATAATTTCCTAGCATTTTTGGTTTTATTCTCCAGGGCATCAATTAATATGCATAAACTGCTACTGTTGCGATGCATTTTATTCATCTCCAGTCACTACAGACAAGCAAGGCCTCTATCCTTAGAGCACAGGAAAGCCACCTGCTAACATGTGAATGTACGCTCCTGCTCATATCAATGAGTCAGATCACACCATATATTCACATTGACTCTGAATGATGCCTTTGCACAATTCACGCATCAAGCTTCTTGTTGGATCTGTGTGTACCTTCACCTTCAGAGGACACCACCACAGCATCCATTGCCGAGTTGTATTTGTGGCAGTCAGATCTTCAGATCAGAACTTTTTCACTGGCGATCAAGGACAGGTTGTGTGACTGCGTCCATATAAAGCTCTTACAGATGAACCCATGACCAGACAGTGAGATCTGTTCCTAGGGTGCCACAGCGCTGTTTACGACTGTCATCTGGGGTAGCTAATCCCTAAAGAAATGCCATGATTATATGATTGATCATCAGCTAAATCGTCTACATACTCCTTGCAAGCTTTATTAGTGGGAATAACTGAGCATGGGCATGTGGTGTAGTGGTTAAAGCGCCAGACTTGGTTTCTAGTCCACACTCAGCCATGAAGCTCATGGAGTTACTGCAGGCCAGTCACAGACTCTCAGCCCAACCTACCTCACAGGATTGATGTTGTGAGGATAAAATGGAGAGAACAAGAACCTTGTGAGCCACCTTGGGTTCCTTGTGAGAAGAATAAAGGTGGGGGTATAATATAAATTAATAAGAGCCTGCAAAAAGGGACTCAATAAAGCATTCAGACCTCACCTAGGTTCAATGTACTGAGAGGGGAGCACAAAATCATGAGATTACTCTTAGCATGGAATCTCTCTTTGCACAGAATCTAATTGTGCCTGTCTCCTAAGGGAAGACCATCCCCGTAGCAAATTCCCCTTCCCCATAGCCCTCAAATCTGCTGCAAAAGATTAGGATACCTTCTGCAGCAACTTCTGGGACCACATGAAGCAATGGATGAAACCCTTTGCTTTTCCTCTGCACCATTTTTAGATGTTTGACACAACTACAGCATGATCGTGTGTTTGCCACATAAGCAACTCCCACTACAACACTGATTCAAAATCAAATGTGCATAGAATTGCAAGCAGTCCATTAGAAGTAATAAGCAAATAATTTCAGAACAAAGACAGAGACTTTCCATCATCCTGATCAATCAGTAGCTGCCTTATCATGCTCTCTGATGAGTTCCCTGGCAATAAATAATGCAAGGCAGGACATAAATAACAGTTCGGATTCCCTGCAAGATGTATAGCTGTGGTGGATTTTTCACTCACCTTTTTGGCTGGAAAATGTAAACCAAGTGTTGCTTCTTCAAAGACATCTGGATGAATGAACTTTGCTAGCCCCTAATCATGAGCTAAGACCATGCTTTTCAGACTTTTTGAAATCAGTATCCCTTCTGAGTAGACCGTCTACTGCTACTCCAAGTGCCTACTCCACAGGAGTCCACAAGAGATCATTACACAAAGCTGTGGGTAGCTACATGTAGCCATCTGTCAATGGGAACGTTAACCCAACACCAGCATGGCAAGGGGCCATCTGTAAACTTCTTCTGAAATGATGTACAGGAAACATAAAAACAAAGGAGGAAAACAGCCAGCCAGCGAATTTAAAGTAGACTGGCCAAAGATCTCTGCCAGGCAGCAAATTATCCGGAGTCTTAGGCAATGGGAGAGAAATGTTACACTTCCCACAGAAATGGGAACTGAGATGCATATAGAAGCCATTCCCGAAATGGGGCTACCTGGTTGCATTGTCTGAAGCCCAGTTCTGCTGGAAAAGAAGGCAGTTATTCTGATGCTATGAGTTTTGCGATGCTATGATTTTACTTCCAGAAGCAGCAGCCAGTCCTAGAGAGCCACAGCCCTTACAGGGTTCAAGGGTGGTCAGTGAGACCTCCCCCAACCCTTGGAAGGTGCTCCCTCACGCAGGACATAGGCTAAATCGTTTGCTCAGTAGTCCACACTGACACTAGTACATAAAGCAAGCGACACATGACTAACGATTTTACACCCTATTGTACCAGTGTGCAAGACTCTCAGCAGATGCAGCATCATAGTGGCTTTAGCTACATTTCAGGGAAGACTGGAGTTTCTCAGAAGCTTCTCAGAACATGTTAGCTAAAGGATCCATTGTGGCAAACAGGCTTACAGCTGCTCTGTACACTTGCAGAATAATGGATACATGCTAGGTCACTCTCAATTCAAGCGTGGAAGTCATTGTCCAACCAAGCTTATTGATAATTTGCTATTTGAAACATTTTGAAAAATGCAAAAATGTTTCTCAGTTGTGTGCTTTCTCTCTGTATATATAAACACACACACAAATGTGGCTAAAGGACATGTTTAGTCAAGAAACGTTTTATAGTTCTAGATGAGAACATTTCATTACACATATTACATGTGAAAATTTGGAAACAAAATTCCACTGCCCTACATTAATTCTCCCATTATGTGATCTAGATGCAGTTTCAATGCCCATGTGGTTCAGCACGTAACTGCATAAAGCAACCTAGATGATTCAATACCAACATGAAATTGCCTTTTCCTTTGCTGTAACACAGCTTGAATACAAAGTTATTCAATATATTTTGAAAAATAGGACAAGTATAAACACAATAATCCACTACAATCCAAAGGCCAAATCACTTTCAGGAAAAATAATACACATCAGTGGAACCATTTTCATCTCATTAAGTTTTGTTTGGCATAGCACTAATGTAAAAAAATACTACAATGCTTCAAAAATAAGTTGAACCATCACATTTTTAACTTGCCACAAGTAAAGAGATTGACCTGCTGCTTAAACATCATTAAATCTACCTTTTAGAGATGCAAGATTTTTCCAATCCTTATGGGAAAAAGAATCCAACATCAAGTTGCTCAGAAGCTTTATACTTCCCTTCCCCTTGAAAATCAGCATGCTGGTGTGCTTAAAAACACACACACAATTTTTTCTTTTTAAAAGTAGCATGTGTAACAAAGCATCATTTTGCTTTGTTCTGAAATAATTAAGGCAAAGAAGCAAGATATGATCCAAAATAGTTCTGACTCCTTCATATGGAAGGATGATGGATGAAAAATAGGTGTCAAAGGAGAGCTATAAAATGATTTATAAATAAAATATATAGTTGATCCTGGAAATTCATGTTTCTATTTTAGCCCAGCTTGCTTGGCAGCATCCCAGGAAAGAGGCTGATAACTGGTGCATAACCTTTACTTCTAAATACTTATCTGTAGCATTGTAATGTTGTAGCATTATGTTTTATACCAGGGCTGGGCAACTTCTGGCTGTCCCAATGTAATCTACAATTGCTTTTGTCATCCCTCGCCACTACCCATGTTGGCTAAGGCTGATACGACTTGTATATAACACTTGTATGTGCTGAGTGACAAGTTGCCTTTAAGGACATTTCTAATTCTTGATGTTCATAAACCTCCCGTTGGAACAATGTTTTCCAATTCAATCTTGAGCAAATATGGGGAACGTGTGGCCTTCCAGATGGTGTTGGAGTGAAACTCCAATCATCCCTCACAATTGCCTACGTTGGCTAGGGGTGATGAGATGTGCAGTCCATCAACATTTGAAGGGCCATCTATTTCCCAACCTTGAGAGTTTTGATGCAATATATCCTGTTCATTCCAAACTTAGAGGCTAAAAGCATTTTTAAAATTAAGACATGTTCTTCACATTCTTAGCCAGAGCTCTAGGGCATATGAAAGCTGATGTTTCTCTGAGCGCTTTCTCCACTTGACTGCTTTGTAATCCATCCTGCTGGAAAACTTATCAACTTTGCTACAAAACAAATCCAAAGCAAGTTGATTTATTTATCACTGGCTAACACTATTTTCTAAAATATCACTGGTATATGGTAGTTCATCTTTAATTAGATGATAAAAGTTGCATCCATTTTCCTCTAGATACTAAAGGATGTAGGAAAACCCTGCTCTAAAAGGTTTTTTTAAAGCAGAATTCCAAAATCTCAAATACATTATCTTATGTACAACGGATACACATGAAAGAATGATGATGAGGAGGAGAGAAATCCAGAAAGAGTGAAGTCATGGTAGGTCATATTTGTAATTTACTGGAATTTTTGGTAGGCAGAAAGAAAGAAAATGCCTTTTCACACCAGGGGGCAATCTAGAGGTTGCAACGTAAGCTGCGACTACTGTTACTAGTATGAGCAGAATTGTTGTTGTTTACGCATAGGTCTGCATATCTGAAAAACATGCATATACACTAGAACCAACATGTTTTTCATCAGATTTTCTTTATTTACACCTTTGTGGGTTCAAGGGAGGCAGGGCCCCATAGCTGAGTGTCACTCAATTGAACCGTACTTTGACCATCAATTTGCTTAAGAGTACTTGAACAACTGCAGCACTTGTAAGAGCATAGTCATTCCAATCTTATTGCTTAGATTGTATAATACATCGCTCAATCTTAAAGCAATCAAGTATAGCTATTTCAAATGCAGTTCTGCTGAAGAATTTTATTCAGACCTCCTCATGGACCTGGCAACAATATTCCCCTTCACACATCCCGCAGATGTAGTTAGACTTCCTACTATTGGTTGGACTCTGTTCATAATGTCAATCTAAGATCCTTCAATGTACTATCTGGGTGGTTTATTATGAAGCTGGTTAAGACTGAATCAGGGAGAAAAGAGGGGAGCAGAATTATTTCTGTTCTATGTTCTTTCCAGAATCACGTGAGGAACCACAAACACTCCATTTAAGAATTCAAGATAAAACAGATGGAGCTGGTATTCGCTTTGTCAAGTAGGTTTAAATTCACACTTGAATCTGCTTCCTCATTCCTCTAAATCAAGTGTGTTTAGTTCTTCTTCTAGTTCTTCCAAGTCCTCACCAGTAAAAAGATTTTCGTCAACTGGTACTGCATCAATATCTCCGTTTTCTTGGGTATGTTCCATGTCATTGTCAGCTTCCAAATCACTTTGCTCTCCGTTCTCTAGTCTGCCTCCTGAAGCTTCGCTCAGTTTGTTATCTGAAAGTTAAAACAATTTGAACCATGCACTATTTAAATATATTTAGTCATTTTTAAAGGCATTATTAGTCTTTAGCCTCACAATCAAAATGATGTTGTTGGATGGAGAAACTATTCTCCAGTTACGCTACAACAAGCCATACCAGGGTGATTATTCAATTGTGACTCCCACATGTAGCAGTCTAAAACTGGCACCATGGCTGAAATAAGCAATTTTAGTTTGAATCATGCCATGTCCCATAGTGAATCTTTTGATTGTGCAAACCAGCTTTCAGGCCATTCCAAAAAGAAAGAATGATGTGACCGAATAGGGCATCAGAACTCTATCAGAACACAACAAAGTAACCAAACCACTCTTATTTGTGAACAAGTTCCACTTGAATGAAAAAAAAAAAGATGTTTAACACTAGGACATGTTGACACAAATGACCTAGAATTTTCTAGAATTCCTTCCAATCAAATGTAGAAGTTTTGAGGCTTCTATTTGCTAACAATTTTGTCAGGTTTTGAAATCCCTGCATGTGTTTACGATGTTTGGTTTTTTCCTGGATATGACAGAGTTAGGGAACATTAGGGTATTCTTCACTAGTCTAAGACTAGTTTTCGTCTTCTCCGTGAAGAGCTTCCATTCAAGATGGCCATTTAAAAAACTATCCAGCTTAAAAATTGGTGCTGGAGTTTCCTTGTTTTCCCTTTTCCACCAAGAGTGCTGTCATTTCATGTCACGTATTTTAAATTGTACAACTACAGACAGGGAAGTTTTAGATAAGTTCAGATTTCAGGCATGTCCCATGACCATATAAAAGAAAAGAAAAAGAGAAAAGAAAGAGCTAGAGCAAGTTTTCAGAAAGAGTAGAAGCAATGGTAGGGAAGAGAAGGGAAAAGGAATTATTACCCTAATCCTTAATACCAAGCGCAAAATTTGCATGCTCATAAATAATGACATTCACATATATTAGAAAAAAAACCCAAAAAGTTTTGCAGAACCTCCTAGTTCATAATAAGTGAAATGGAGCATGTAATTATGGGTATCCAAGTGTAATTTTACATACACACACCAGTTCCCAAATAATTCTACTAAAAAAAAAAAAAAAAAGATTAACCTCTTCAGGGCAGTGTTTTTGCAATGTCTGTATTGAAAGATGCACACTGCTGGGACAAATTAAATATTTTAGGAAGAGCTGCATCTTTTGTGAGAATAAGCCAAATACAGGTTAATTTTTTAAAAACTTCAATTTCTTCACCAAATAGCAAAAAACCCAAAACCCAAAACAAAGGATAAAAACTAGCATCATGTGAGCAGGCTTCCATTCATGTGCTGAGGCTTCCTCCTCCCACATGCCCTCCCCAATTCTGTTTCTGGGGCTCCTCCAATCCTATGGAGCAGATTTTGAAAAGTTTGAGTGCTGCAGCGGGGAAAGGAAATTTGACCCTCCCCACTCCAAAGTTGGAAGCTGCTCTGATGGTTGAATGGGCTAACATACTCCAAAGCCTTACCATCTTTTTCAGCAGAAGCATATGTGGTAAATCGTTCCAGACTAGCTACGGTAATTCCAGTCTCATCCACATCTTTTGGAACATACTGGTTCAAGTCCACATCATTGACACGCACAAGTTCCTCAACCTGAAAGGGGAAAAAAAAATCACGTTCCTGGAATCAACCTTTCTAGTCTGGCTCTCAGAACAACTCTCAGAGGCAAAGACTTTCTGCAGCCTTAACCTACTCGGTTCAAATGAGCAATGAATCTGGCACATAATATTCACAAATAATGAGATTCTGGGGCTCTTGGCCCATGGAAGAAGATTCTTCCTTGCCAGTTTTTGACAGAATGTAAGATATTCTTGAAGCAGATTTACCTCATCTTCACCTGTTCCTTGAATATAACGAGTGTCATCTGCTTCTTCGTCATCTGCATCTACGAGCTCTGGCCGGAACTCAAACACTTCGCGCCCACTGATCTAGCCATGGAGAGAATGAGGACAACATTAAAGAGAAATTTAAGATTTAACAAGTTGAAGGCCTCATACTTCACAGAACATGTTTGACCTTGTCTTGTTATTTTAAATTAATGTTATAGATCACATTACACATTACATATAGAACAGTGAAGCTTACCACCAGGGCTTTGCCAGCCTTAAAGTCTGCTTTCCTTCTTTCCATATCTTGCTCTGCCTTATTAATCTTTTCTTGTCTCTTCCTTTTCTTCCATGCAAGAAAAGACTCTAAAGTAATTTTAGTTACATTTGGTCCTAAGGCAGCTCGCTGTAAGAAAAAGAAAATTAAGTCACTGAATAGGCTTTTAGAAGGCTAACTTTTTTGCTTCAGTACATTATGAAAAAAATAAACTCTTAAATATAGACCATCTGTACAAGGTTTCAGAGTATAAATTTATTTGGCAATAAAGGCTATATTAGCTCCTCTGAATTTCCTAAAACTAGTTTGGAAGTGAGGTTCTCCATTCCTTTTATCACTGTTTCCTCTTAGCCTACAGGGAACAATGAATTAAACCAATTAAAGTAAAAACTAAGATCTACTTCATGTCAAAAAAATTACATGCAGCTCTAATATTATTAAAGATTCCTATCTATTTAAATGTTTTCATACCAAATACAGTAGGATTCAGATGTTCAAATATATCCAGTTTTTAGCGTGTGCATACTTAATTTTTTCAACCATTAAACACTGGCGCCCCCTGGAGTCTGGAATGTAGTATTCCTTTTCTTCCCTGATGCTGCACAAATTGAAGCCTTAGTTTTAAAAAATATCTACTAGAATATCCAAAGAAGTTTACTGTGATCTGCTACAGTCCTATTAATCAATTTCAATTAAGAAAAAGACAGCAATTGCAAAACTTTCTTAAAAAAAATCAGTTTTAAGGCTTTGCTGTATAGAACTGCAGCAGACTATAACTTCTCACTGCTAAAGTGATCAAGTTATTTGCACTCCCCACCTTGCTACAATGAAGCAAAACCCACTTTATAAAGGAACTAATTAGTGCATTACCTCTTTTTCTATTAGATCTTCTAAAGAAATTTCTTCTTCTTTTTCTTCTTTCTTTTTGTCCTTTTTGAGTATGAAGCCAGGAGGAAGAGCATGGCGGTACATACAGTTGTCTCCCCCACCAGGACAGACCCAGAACCATCCATATTTATTGTTTTCAATAGCATCAAGGAAATACTTGCAGACCTGTAATATACATTCACCATCATATTGTTTTACATCTTCCATTTTATATTCATGATGTAATACACCTTAATTTCTGGTGACCTTGCCCAAATTAAAAGGAAGACTTGCCTGCAATTTATACTGTACTAGCCATGAAATACAGTTGCCCCCTACTCCTGTTTTGCCTCAATCGGGCAAATGTCAAATATTTTTTACACAAAAACCATGTCAGTGCCATTGAACCTTGAATGATTTTAGAATAAGGGGTCAGCGAGGAGCCTCTCCTCCAGAGAGAAGTCTCTGGAGTCAGAATGTCTTCTACACCAAATCTGGTAGGCAAAGCCCTCCCATGGCACCACTTTTGCCTAATTATCCACTTCTTCTGTGCAGAGAGGTACAATAGCACATGCCCACTGAAATAACTTTACTTAAGGTTCATGCAATGTTTTTCTCACCCCTCCCCACTCTCTGTTCTGGTTCTGATTTTAGAAAAGGCAATAAAAACAAAAACAAAAAAAATGAGTTTTGATATCACATCCTTCAGATGGAATTACCATGCCATGTCAACTATGTAACAATTCTCTATTCATGTTATCATAATCACTCAGTCACTGTATCTTAAAAAAACAAAACAAATGGACACTTTTTGACTAAATATAAGGCAACTGAATGTGGAGAACAGAAAATAGAGGCAAGATCTTGAGAAGGTGGCACTCCCGATTCTGGACACAGATTCAGACAAGTCATTTAAATGAGCCTGAGTGCCTAACAGGGCTTTCTACCTGTGTTTCTCAAAAAGTTCCTACTACTCTTTGGCTGTACTGCAACTTGTCTGACACCCTATGACATTAAACAACAGTTTGAAAGAGGGGATAGGAAGGCTGCAGCTCAGCGAGGGCATGGAAGACCCCCGGTACATGCAACCTAGTTCTCTAGTTTACTGCCTGTGGGATAGTTTTCCTCACCACTTTCAAACAATATCTTCCTTAAAAATAAATCCAAGTTGGAGATTACCTAAGATGTATACATATTAAACATACAATGTGCAAGACACAATGTATCTTTCCACCTGTCCTCATTCTACAGAATGGATTAGTTATTATTCATTGCATCTTAATTTCTTTGTATGTTACTAATGAATAATTCCTGTCTATTTTGTCAAACACATTTAGAATACTGAAACTAAATAGAGTTCAGTTGAGCAGCTATTGCCATAATGGCTCTTGATAGTAACGTGAAATTTCTTTTTCCATTGTGGCTTATTTATAGCTACAAATCACATACACAGGATGCTCATACTATCATTTCATAAATGCCTTTCTACTAAAAGCGAGTCTGTTCAATTGGATATTGAAGATGAACAAGTCCTACATATACTAAGGGACACTCCTATGCATGTTTAGAGAGAAAGAGGCCTACCATCCCCATCATACCCCAGTCAGCCATGTAGACTTGTTTAACATCTAATCCTGCACAGGACAGCACCCTAAGAAAAATCACCACATGTTCTCAATTAAAGCAAGAAAAAGACATACTATTTGTGTTTTGGGTTTTTTCTTTTCAGCCTCACCATGCTTCTTGTTCACTACCTCCTCCAGTTTCTTTTCATCCCAGTTATCCATTGTGTCTAGATATAACAACAAAAGATGTCACTAAACAGAAGGAAAAAAACCCTCAGCTTCAAGACTGTCAGCCTCTCCTATATACATATGCATAAAAATAAAGCTGGATTCCATCTTGGTGTTTATGAAGTAAGAAGGACAGAAAGAAATATGAGCCAACAGAAATGGATGCCGCAATAGGTTAGATGATGAAGACTAACACAAATAAATATACAGTTTTAACTGTATAACTGTGTTAATCTTCTGTTTACTAATTCAAGGTATGGTATGAGGTTAAAGACTGGTATGAGGGCAACAGAAGGAAACACTAAATTCTAGGGAAGATCTACATTTATTCCTCAGAAAAGAGAGTGAAAACGGAAATCCTTTGTTGAATATATTAGCAGACACCAATACTTGCCATGGTGTTTCCCAATTCAGGTACATGACATCCAAACCTCTCCATCTTTTCCATAAAGTTTGTGGCACAATCCTTTTGACATCATTCCGTATCAAAACTAAGCTTAAGTATGTGTACACAAATCTTGTGTACAGATTTTTAGTTTTAAAGGACTCAATAGTGCATTGAGTACTGTTGGATTTGGATGAAGTGGAACTGAATGAGAACATTAGTTCAGACACTGACTTTGTTAAGTAAACACATTTACCGCAAAGCTGGCGACCTGCTTTAAAAAATTGTTGGGACAGGTAAATATAAGAATTACCAAGCACCTCTGCACATGAAAATTTGTTAAACACACACACACACATGCCCAAGAACAAAAAAACAGGGCTGTGTGTTATTAGCACTATGGTCAATACGTTATAGTCACAGATATAGGATTGAAAAACAGGAATGTAATATCTCAATTCATATAACAAGTTGAATAATGTGAATATTATTTAAAACCTGAGCTATTACTTCCATATGTTGGTTCTCAAAATAAGGCTTTTGGGGTCAACCATTCTATAACTATCAGGGCAACTTATTTCCATATACATAAGATGCATATTTTTCATGTTCAAATATTACAGTGAATTAAGTTTTGTGCTATGTAAATAGCTCTGGAGAAGCCTCTGGCTCACATGCTCCCCAATCGTCTTCTCCTCTGGTGTATTTGCGAGGAGATCCAACATTTTGCTTCTATTTTTAATTAACCACAGCTAAGCAAGCCTGATAAACTGTGGTTAGTCTGAAACGATGGGATACTGAAACAAGCTAGTTTTGTGGTTTGAATATGGCTTGTTTATATAAACTCTAGTTTACTGATTTAACCACACTTTGCATTTGGACATAATACTAAATTACAGTTAATTGAAAAGGGAAGTGAGAGCTTCAGATCTTCTCTTTGCTCTAGAGAGAAGACAGCACACAAACCTAAGGCTCACTTATATAAAACTAAATGATTACAGTGTTAAGAGTCAAATAAAGGCGTTGTTAGCAACTTTTTTCTTCATGTTATTCTTACAATATGATGCACTGATCTGATCAATCTGTATATCCCTAACCTTATGTTTGTAAAGCCACAGTACAAAACAGACATATCCATGGTAGATGGCTATTTGAGAATTTCCAATAATTGATTTTAAATACTTTCGATATTGGTTGTGCCAACATTAGGTAACAAAATTGCAATAATCATCTAGAGCTGCCTTCTTTGAAGTTCTACTGTCAAAGCTCACTCTATTTCAGCATGGTCTCCCGATTCTGTGTAGCATTTTTAGGTGGCTGCTATGGAAAAGATAAGACAGGAAAGTCCACTTTCCTAAAGCACAGTTGATCCAGTTTAAATTAGGATCCAACTCCTAATTTGTTGTTGTTGTTAGTTGCAAAGTCGTGTCTGACCCATTGCGACCCCATGGACAACATTCCTCCAGGTCTTCCTGTTCTCCACCATCCCGTGGAGTCCACTTAAGCTCACACCAACTGCTTCAGTGACTCCATCTAGCCACCTCATCTTCTACCGTCCCCTTCTTCTTTTGCCATCTATTGTTCCCAGCATTAGGCTCTTCTCCAGGGAGTTCTTCCTTCTCATTAGGTGACCAAAGTATTTGAGTTTCATCTTCAGTGTCTGGCCTTCTAAAGAGCATTCAGGGTTGATATCCTCTAGGACTGACCGGTTTGATAGCCTTGTGGTCCAAGGAGTCTCCTCCAGCACCACAATTCAAAGGCCTCAGTCCTTTGGCATTCAGCCTTCCTTATGGTTCAGCTTTCACAGCCATACATTGCAACTGGGAAAACCATAGCCTTGACTGTACGCACTTTTGCTGGCAGGGTGATGTCTCTGCTTTTTAGTATGCTGTCTAGATTTGCCATAGCTTTCCTCCCCAGGAGCAAGCATCTTTTAATTTCTTGGCTGCGTCCCCGTCTGCGGTGGTCTTGGAGCCCAGGAAAATAAAATCCGTCACTACCTCCATTTCTTCCCCATCTATTTGCCAGGAAGTGAGAGGACCGGATGACATGATCTTAGTTTTCTTAATGTTGAGTTTCAAGCCAACTTTTGCACTCTCTTCCTTCACCTGCATCAAGAGGCTCTTTAGTGCCTCTTCACTTTCTGCCATGAGAGTGGTATCATCTGCATATCTGAGGTTGTTGATATTTCTCCAAGCAATCTTAATTCCAACTGGTGATTCATCTAGCCCCGCCTTTCCCATGATGTGCTCTGCATATAAGTTAAATAGGCAGGGTGACAGTATACAGCCTTGCCGAACGCCTTTCTCAATTTTGAACCAATCAGTGGTTCCATGTCCAGTTCTCACTGTTGCTTCTTGACCCGCATATAGGTTTCTCAAGAGTCAAATAAGATGGTCAGGTACTCCCATCTCTTAAAGGACTTGCCACAGCTGGTTGTGATCCACACAATCAAAGGCTTTAGCATAGTCAATGAAGCAGAAGTAGATGTTTTTCTGGAACTCCCTACCTTTCTCCGTGATCCAGCGTATGTTGGCAATTTGATCTCTAGTTAATTAAGATGCTTTAAAATGTTATCAGCTATAATGAATTCCAAGGAATTCAGGAGAACCTTCAACTAATACCTCATAGCTACATTCACAATGAAATAATTTGTTCTAAAAACCACAACAGAAATATATTTATTTATATGTTCAATATAGTAAAAGTAATTCTACCTTTTTCAAGATCTTCATCCCTTGCATCAATGTAAACACTTCTCTTTTCACACTTTCTCTCCAAAGTCAAGTCATGAGAAAATTTGCACTTGTCTCCTTTTGTGCACTGCCCTTGCTTAAAGAAAGCACAGACTACTGATTTTGGATCAGCACCTGTAACATATGCAGGTTATTTAACATCACTGCAGATCAAATGAAAAACAAATCTAGGACACATAAAGTAAGGTAATGTAAGTCATCCAAAGAAAGCTCACCTTTACTGATCTTCTGTGCAGCAACCACAGGTTTAAAAAGCTCATTCAGTTCTTGTAATTCTTTCTTCTTATCATCTTTCTTTAATTTCTTATCACCCTCCTGAGCAGCCTATAAAAACATTAGCATTAACAACAGATATGATTACCACAAGTTCAAAACTGCATATTACATCTTTCAAGAAGCAGAAGTTTATAAACAATCTGTAAGCATTATTCAATAACAATATAAACCATGACCTAGAATTATGTAAGCAACCGTAAACCTTGGGCACAAGCACTCCCTGCTCCTCTGGTATGGCCACAAGGAGCCTGGAAGTGGTCACAACCTTTTTTTTAACTAACCACAATTCATCTTAGCTATTGAGTTTACTGAAACAAACCAATCTCAAATCCTGATTTATGAACCTGGCTAATTTCAATTAATCAGTTTGGATTTAACCGAAGTTCAATGTAGAAGCTAATCCATCACTGCCTCCCATCTTAAGGCTGTGACTTAAGACAAGCCACATGGCTTCAGCAAGTCTTCCTTGCTCCCATCACATACCCAACTTTGGGTACCATCTGGAAATCTCAAAAGCTTGCACTCTATTTTATGACATTCTGGTTGGCCTAACAGAAACAGTGCCCTAATATAAATTTTACTCCTATCTATATAATTATGTGTATTCTAAATTGTTTTAAATTTGTTGTCCAGAAAGAAGTTGGCATTAACAAGCTGCTTATTGAAACTTACATTTTTTCAAATGTTATCAAAGCAGCCAAAAGCCAAAATACCTTCCTACAGCCCACCATCTATTTTTGCTGGGAACCAGAGCCAGTATCTTAACAGACTTCTGTTTGCACTGGGATACTGTTTTAACCATAGTATTTAGTTAGCAAGAACTTACAAGGCTCATAGTAGCATAATTATCCCATCTTTCTACAACTCACCACTCCTATTACACACTATAATAATACAACAAGCAATTGTAGCATGTCATGTGCAAAGAAACAAAGCTGAATAGACATTTGCTTACCTGCCGTGGGTTTTGCTGGCCAAATTTAACTTGGTGGGTCACAGCTTTGATAAACTTTTGCTGCTTTGCTCCTTTCTTATTCTTTAAGCCAAATGTTTTGTCCTACATTGAAAAGATTTGTTGAAATGTTGCTAGATTAAATTACCTTTAAAACAGTTCCATATTCATCCTGTGTTTAGTCACACACTTAACAGTGATTGAACTTTGTTTCAATGGCATTTTACTGAAATAGATTTACATTTTAATATGCTACCTAGACACTCATTTCTGAGATAAAAGACACACAGAAGGAAAGTTGCAGATTTGTTCTGTTCTAAAGTCAACAATTTCTTGTAATGCAAACTCATTTTCACTCCAGTAATATTTGTTGCTTTAATACAGCTACACAGTTTATCTAGCTATCAAGGAATTTAATTAATGAAAGGATTATGGAAATTAAAAAAATAATTTAGTCTTCCATGTTTAAGAATATTAAGAGACACCAACCCAGAATTACAAATGACAAGTTTAAATGACGACTTGTAAAAATGAAAGTAAACAGATAAAAAATGATAAATGATTGACTTGTGTGCAAGTATCCCAGGTATCTACCTAACCAGATTCAAAGGTCATTGGAACATAAGTAGCAGACATACTGAGGCAAACCATTGGTCCATCTAGGCCAGTATTTTTGACACTGACTGGCAGTGGCTCTCCAGGATTTCAGGCAGACAGTTTATTAGCTCTATCTGCTTGGAGATGCTGGGGATGGAAACGTGGACATTTTGACGGCTGAGTTACAGTTCCATCCCACATTATGTGGGATTTTTTCAAAGCTGTGTATGAAAGGTGAGGCTTTCAAATGAAGTGAAGCAAGTTGCTGAGAGAGAGAGTACCTGCTAAGCAGTTTCCTGACACTGTTATCATTTCAGCACCATTAAAGACCATTTTTACAGACACTTGAAGAACTTTTTCTGATGCCTTTAGATCTTCAGACATTATCTAGAGGGCCACAGGGTAATTACCTTACTTTGAAACTTTACACTAGCTTTACAATTCTTTATCAAGAAAACATTCTGATTCATGTTTTGCTACTAAGACCGTTATACCCACAAACAAATAAAATTGAATTTTCACTAAAGTTTTTGTTTTTAAAGGTAAGACTACTGGTGGCATATGACTATCAGCATAGCGTTACAATCCACTCCAATGTATGTTCACTCAAAAGTATGTAGCCAGGATGTTTAGCAGAACTTTCTCCAAATGATTCATGGGACTGACACATTAATCCCTTAGTATATGCTCAGAGGTTGTAGATGTGCAATGTACTCCTGAACATGTTTATTCTGTAATAACCTTGACAGAGTTTAATGAGTTCTATTTCCAAAGGTTTACAAAGCTACAGAATGGTTTCCCACCATTTGAACTATTTCTAAACCTTTGCAGTATTTAATTTCTAAGAAAAGAGATGATGGGGCTCTTGTCTGCTTGGAAACATAGTTGTCTGATTGGAAGGCAATGTAATCCTTATGGGAAGAAATTTTAACCCCATTTCTCAGTTGCAGAACTCATGCTTTGCATGCAAATCATCCAAAGTGCAATCTCTGGCATCTCCAGGTAAGGTAGAGAAAGATTTCTTGTTTGAAAATAAGCTGTCAGGAATCACAGATCAGTTTTCCATCACCTGGTATCCTCCAGTTGTTCTGGACTTCATTTCTGAGTGTTCCTGATTACTTATGCACCCAGAAACATATTCTTATTTTCTTTATGCAATCTAGAGTTACACTCTGGCATTGGATCAGATGTTAAGAGATGCCTGGGCTGAGCTCTGGCACAAATTAAATTTGGTTGCCCAGCAAGCGCTGTAAGAAGTGCACTGTCTGAAAGCTTCTACAATACACACAGTCCAGTCTATTGCTCCAAGGTTGTTCTCATTTTTTATTACTTACAGTTCCTTCAAAAACCATAATATGCAATAATGAACCACAAAAAGAATGTAAGTAGGGAGTGCAATATGGCTAGCTAGGGAACGCTAGAAGTTTTGGGGCTTTTTCAGCCCAAACATGCATGGGATTATGCACTAACATTTAGGGCTTAAACACTAGGATCTTGGATGTAGTTAGAACCAAAGTAAACACCAGTGGCCTCCTACAGAACTATTCTCTGTTAACTGCTCAGTTAAGAGTAACACAAGACAGCCTGGGGTCTTCCAGGACACGTCTCAAACTCCCAGGATTCCTGCCCACTGGCTACGCTGGTAGAGGCTTCTGGGAGCTGAAGTCCAAAATATCTGAAGGGCCCTAGGTTAGGAAAGGTTGGCTTAAGTTTCCACTGAAGAGGCCAAAGTGGATGCGGGTCACACCGCTTCAGTCTGTAAGCGGGACTCACACGACTCAAAGCGGGAGGTCCTTCCGCGTAGAAAGCTGCGACTGAAATAGCCTGTCAGGAAAAAACCGAGGCTAATGCAACTAACTCCTTTGCGTCTCTGGATGAATTTGGAGAAGTACACAGCCATGGAAACCGTCCACCTGCCCTCCGAAAGGGCACACATCTCGATGCCCACGGTGGCAGCCGCCTCCTCTCATGAGAAATTAGGCCCGAGACTCACCTCGATTATTTTCTCCTTCTTTTTCTGGTCCGCCTTTTTACTGCCACCCCCCGCCGCTGCCCCGGAGGGCTGCTTCTTGGGGGGCATTTCGGGAGGCGGGTAAACGGAAGGAAGGAGGGGGAGGCGGGGGAGAGGAGAGGAGAGGAAAGGAAAGGAGGCGCCGCTGAGGCCCAGAAAGAGAAGAGCTTCCCTCCACTGCTCGGCGGCCAAGCGAGCGGTCGGCAAGGGAGGAGCGGCGGGTAAGTTGTGAAGGAAGAGTGATAGAAGCGAGGGACAGCCGAACGAGCGCTTCGCGTTTGCGACAAGCCGTCAGTGACGGAAGCAGCAAAGCATTACGGGACGGAGAAGGAGAAAAAAGAACTCTACGGGCGCGAGCGCACGCGCAGCGACACCGACGGCGACTCGCCTCCCTTGCTCCCGCAATGCATTGCGCCAATCACAGGCTGTTCGGTAGATCCGCGGGGCGGGACTAAGGGAAACCCTGAAAATTCTCCGCGTGGAAGATGACGTCACGCAGTCCCAGCCCTTATGCAACCGCAGCTTGAACCCCGCAGCAGCTGGAACTTTATTTTTTCTCTAATTATCAACCAAGGATGCTGCTTATACGGTAAAAAGTATTGTAAAAAGTGTTAAAAGTACTGTTTAGATAGTAGAAAAGTCTTACAATTTCTATCTTTCACCAGCCAGAAAGGAATGCTGGGAGTTGTAGGACTTTTCTTTTAAAATAACTTCAAACACCGATAGAAATGCGCTTGAACCTGCTTCCTTCCTCCATTAGTGTCACAGTATTTGGAAATTTCGGTTTTTAGGCTGCGCTCTTAAAGCCGCAGGCTTAACCTACAATAAAACAGAGAAACACGCAGCTGAGGTCAGATATCAATAAGTTAAATATATTAAAGATAACACTATAAATAATATCCAAGTATAAAATCGATTATTAAAATATCTGGAGAAGAGGAGTGTTTTTACCTGGCACTGAAAAGATTGTAAAGATGGTGCCAGACGAACTACTTTTGGAAAGCCATTTGATAAATGGGCACAGCCACTGAGAAAGCCCCTCTTCTATTTGCCATTCTCTTTACCTCCATAAAGGATGGATCTCTCAGAAGGGCCTCGTCACCAGATTTTAGGGACTGGGTAGGTATATATGGGAGCAGGCAGTCCTTCAGGTATCCTGGTCCCAAGCCATTTAGTTCCAGGTACATCCACCAATGGAATTCAGACAGTCCACATACAGCACAATCTTACACATGTATCTATCCAGAGGACATTAGATATTGGGTTGATTAAGAATTTCTCCTAGATAAGTGTTCATAGGACTGTAGACTTAAGCAAGTGAGATTTTTGAGTCATAATATAATCCTGCTCTAATATACAGACATTTGGAATTAACCCACTGCTAGGTAAACATGCATACGATCTTGTATGTATTTCTGTTTTCACCAGGATGCAGAGTCTCCTTTTAATGATACAAAAGTGGACTTCTTATTGGAAATGATGAATTTTGCTTTGTAGTGATGCTTCAAAAAGTGTGGCCAAGTGGTTAGGACAGGCTTATGTATGAGGGAATCAGATCTCCTATAATGTGAGACTTTCAGTGTCCTGGTAGATGCATCTTAGTTCTTGTCAAAAGAACATTCAGAGTATGTTTTATTTTCTTATCCAGATGATCAATATGGCTCCAAAACCTCAAATTATTGCACATTTTAACTCTTGTTTCCATTAGGAAAAAGGCAGAAAGCAAAGGATGGAAGTTGCAAGAAAGGGGCTAAGCCAGGGAGTAATAGAAGGGAATGTGTCTCCAATTTGTATATGGTTGCTGGGAAAGTGGGAGTACTGTGGGGGTGATCTTTCTCCCCTGTTCTTCCTCCAGTAAAATAAAAATAAAGAAAAGGAAAGAAATAGAAGGCCAGATGGCTGGGTTTCTATGCCCATTTAGGTTACTTAGCAGTTGTGACTGGTGATAGGCAAAAGAAAGGTCATAGCATTCTGTGAATACTGCCTTCTTGTCCTTCCCCACCTACTGAAATAGCCCTGTTCCAACCTCTCCAAGTTTGTTCAAGATCACAACCTTGCAAGACATCTGAAATTCTTCCTGCAATGGCTGTGAAGAGGTGCAAGACAGATGCAGCATCAGCTCCCCTGCCTGTCCCCTTTAACAAGGGAGCCTGAAATTCAGAAGGTCCCTTGGAAGGTCTCCCAAGGGCTGCAGGGTTGTTGTGTTACTTCAGAATTAGTTCCATTGACACCAGTTGGGCTTACTTCATGCCATGGATTGTTTAAACCAGGGGCTGTCACTACATGTGAACTAGGCATGTGACTCTAGTTCATTTTATGCTTTAGTACCTTACCATTGTATGTTCAAATGAAGTTAGGAACAGCTTCTGAAAAGTTTGCCTGTGGACCTTTAGTCAGTGGGTGAAAGGAGAAACCAGAGCTGGTGAAACAGCCTCGAGTATTGAAGTCATGTTTTCAGTACAGCTTTTCCACCAGCTTGATCATGGACTGATGGTGGCCCTCACTTCAGTGCTGGTCCATGCTCTGAACCTTGGAACCACCACAAAAGATAACCTGAAGTTTAAATCATTACATTAGGCAAGGGAATAAGTGCTGTCTCATAGCCTTTAATTATAATATATTTCAAAACACTCATTTCCTCCAGACTTGTTCTTCAGGTGCATACAGCACAGGTTTAAATGCCTTTGCTACAGTTCCTAATCCATCCTGAAGAGGAGGTGAGGACACCAATGTGGGATTTTCTTTTCACAAGCAAAACAGGAATTCTGGGTCATGCCAGGTTAGGAAACTAGGGAAATGGAGCATCAAGGAAACAAGTCCGCATTTTGCTTGGTCTGTGTGGGAGAGTCTACATGAGCTTAAATCTACAGGTGCTTCTAGGTGGTGAGCTTCCTGGAATGGAGTGATTCTCTCATTACTTCCTTTTCTGCATTAATCAGAACAAAAGAACATCATGGGCAAAGTGGTAGAAAAGTACAGGGGGGTTTCAGGTAGACTGTGGCCATTTTGAAGAGCTAAGGGTTGCTTTCATGTGAATGAGTACGCCCAAAACAAGGCTGGAGAATCAGTGGCTGAACAGGGCATAAGGACAGGTAATGGGGGACAGTCTGAAGCCATGTGCAGCCTCTTGAACATCCATTAATGTACAAACATCCAGATTAAAAAGGGGTCTGAGTTCTGGATCATGAAGTGAGGATGATGATGTCATTCCTATACCGCCCAGTGGCCAAAACTATCCAGGCACTTTACAGTAGTACATAAAAACAATACAATAAAATACAGTAAATGCCTTAAAATCTTATCAAAAGAAACACAAACCATTAAAAATAGCTAAAATCATACAGTGAAGCATAATCCTGTAAAAGCAATACATTCCCTAGATAACCAAGTATATCTTTTAAAGCCTCTGCCTAGAAGGATGTCTTGGCACTGAAAAGATGACAAGCTTGACACCAGGCAGCGTGCAGTGGCCAAGTGATTGTGGAGCTGGAGGCCACCGCTTTGTACTGGCATCTGGAGGAGGACCTGGGATGTCTAGTATAGTGCCTGGATAGATTGCAGTTGGGAGAAATGCTCCATCGCATACAAGGATCCCAAGCCATATAAGGCTTTATAGGTTAAACCCAGCACCTTGAATTGGGCCCAGAAGCAGTGCAAACAAACCAGAACTGGTCTCATGTGTTCAGGATGAGAAATCCCATTTATTCATCTGGCTGCCACAAGCTGCAGCTCCTAAACAGTCTCCAAGGGCAATCCCATGTAGAATGCACTTCAGTAACCTCATGGAGATGGTCAGAGTGTAGATGACTGAAGCCAGGCTATTCCTGTCCAGACAGGGGTATAGCTGGGCCACCAGCCAAAGCTGGCAGAAGGCACTCTGCCAGAGTGGCCATTTAAGCAATGCAGTGCTTCCCACGCCTATCTCAGAGCATCTGCTCAGAAGGGTACCATGTTAAATGATAGGGGTCTGTGAGGAATCTGTTCTGGGTGGAGAATCCACTGGATGCCTTGGTTTGGGTCCCCCAGAGTCCAGCCCACTTTGCAGCCGTCCAGATCTCGAGTGTCTGGCGATGGTGGCCAGGGTTCATGGCATGCTGGCCAGGAATCGAGCCAGGCAGCACCGCTCTTCTGTGCCACAGCAACAAGGAGCGGGGAAGGTTGGCTGCCGGGAATGGTGGCTGGTGTGGCCGCTCACTGTTCCTCTTTTCTGTCTTTGAGTATCACCACTGCCACTGGCAGCAGTGAGCCGGGAACAAGGTTGGCTGTGGGGAACGGCAGCTGGGGAAGGTTGACAGCTGTATTACTGGGGTCTGTAGTATTTGGAGCAGCTTGGCTTGCTCTGCAGGACTGGACTGACTATGAGAAGTCCACAGACTTTGGAGGAATGGATCCTGAAAGGGTTTGCCCTAACCACAGTCAATGTTATCCAGCGTCGCTGAGAAGTCCCGGAGTATTGACAGCATCACATCCCTACTGTCTCTTTCCTGGCATAGGCCATCATGCAAGGCAGCCAAGCCTGTTTGCATGCCAAAACCAGGCCTGCATCCTGAGATGGATCCAGGTTATCAGATACATCCAAGAGTGCCTGAAGTTGGTTGGCAGCAACACACTCAAAAACCTTGGCTAGGAAAGGAACATTTGCTATTGGCCTAACTTTATTAAGCTCTTCCAGGCTGAGGGAGGATTTCTTTAGAACTGGTTGCACTGCTGCCTCTTTCAGGTGACTATTTGCTGTCACAAGGAAGCAGTAATCACTTCCCTGGCCCTGCTGGATGTTTTGTCCTTGCTGTTTTGCAGGAGGGGCAGGGAAGCAATTCAGAGGTGGTTGTACGAACCTGGCCAAACAGCTCATTAACATCCTTTAGCTGTACAAATTGAAACTCATCCAATAAAACTGGATCAGGCTGTGCTCTGGGCATCTCAACAGATTCAACTGCTTTAACTCTGGAGTCTACAGCCTGGCAGATACAAGAGGTTTTCCCTCAGAAGTGCTCAGCAAATGAATCACAGTGGGTTCAGATGGTTCTAAGAGGCCCAGGACAACCCTAAAAAGTCTTGTTAGGTGGCAAATGGATGATTGAATAAATCAAGTCCTGCTGATTTATCACTCCTTTCTAGCCCTTGCAAGAAGGCAGATACCTTTCAAGTATCACCCCAAGCTATGATAACTGCTTAATCATAATGACAGCAGCTAGAAAGGTGATCAGCCTGTGGCTCACCAGATGTTTTGGCTTGCAAATTCCATCAGCCTCCATCTTTGCCATGTAAGCTAGAGCTGATGGGAGTTATGGGCCAAAACATCTGGAGGATCACAAGTTGCCCACTCCTGAACTAGAAGGCTATGGGGATCTCGAACAATGACATAACTGTGCTCTTTTCACCAGGATTCTTAACACAATCGTGTATATGTTTCCACAAAAATAAGTCTCATTGAATTCAATGGGATTATTTCCAGGTAGGTAGAGGAGAGTGCGATTGCAACCTATATGGAAAAAGGGATGGGAAGAGCTAACAAGGTGGCAGATAAAAGACTCAAAAGAACCACAAGTGATCTGATAGATCATCTAGTAAGGAGAAGCTGTCACAAAA